CTTTTTAATGGAAACGAGGCATTCCATCTTAGTCCTCACGGGTGACAACGCATCTGTATTTTGATTCGTAATCGAGGATACATGTAGATGTCTATGTAGGAAGCGAGAAGGGCCGCAGCAACCACTTACCATCAGGTGGACTATATGCTCGTTTGTCACACTATCCTATAAAAAAAATCTGTTATGTACAAATTATGTACAAATGTTTGTTGTGTAATAGTGAATGTCAGTCTCAGTTAAAATTAACATTCTCCTTAGAAGTCATGAAATCTAAAAAAAGGGTAATGCATTTGCGACTAAAGATAAATAACTTAAATAATAAATATACCTTATAATGTATATAAAATTTTATAACAATGCAATGTAACAATATTAACCAAGTAAATTAAAAAGTTTTTAAAACTATCATTTTCAGGTACATTTTACTTGTGCAGTATGTTTGCACTGAGAAACATCGAACACGTAATGTTTTGAAACAAAACGTATAAAATAAATCGCACAACATGTTTAGTTGATGGTGGCGTTCGCACTCACAAAAACTGTGTAAAATTTCCAAGATATTCAAACTTATCTTTCAAAATGACAATATTTCTACAAATTTGTTATCAAACATTTTGTTTCTGTAGTTATAAAGATATAATATAGTTTAAAATATGTAATGTACAATAAACTGTCAAACATATTTCACTACATGTTCTTTGACTATGCAAACGAGATAGAGCGGTGTGATTGTTTGTCCCTTTCTCCGTGCCGGTTTTTTTGTTTAGCAAACTCTACAGTTTGCAAAACAACTTTGACAGCGTAGCGATTTGAGGACTTTACAAGTGTTTAAGTGAGAAAAAAGTGTTTTGTGAGCTTAAGATTGGTGAATCTTGTTCAGTTCAGTTCTTAGAACAATTAAAATTTTTATCTAAATGTGTTTAAAAGTCATAAAGATTATTGTATAACCTAAAAATTCGTTATCGTCCTTTCTCACTCGAGGCCACGCCGATCATTAGTCTATAGGTTTCTCTGTCTACGGTTTAAAACATGTGTGTAAAACGAACCGGAAAAAAATTTTGTAAGTTATGTTGAATTAGGTATATGTATGTGTCATACGATGCAATTGCAACCTTTCCTCAGATGTATTTTGGTCTTTATAACAAAGGCGTCACAAACCGCTTCGCAGCTAGGATTGCAGTTGTATTTTGATCCGTTGTTATGTTAATGATCATGATTACGTTGCATTACATTATCTTCTTTGTTGCATTTGCTTAGTGTTCTTGTATGTGATAGGCACGTGTTGCAGCTATTCCTAATAAAATTATATGCGGATGCAAATTTGCGTATTTCTTCAGAATACTGACTTTTTAAGTAAATTCCTAGATTTAGCTAGTTGCTTTTTTAGAAAATCTTTCGGAGCAGAGCATTCTTCTAACAGAATTGTACCTTCATATTTTATAAAATCCGTTTCTTAAGTCTAGTATACGTTACTTAAATAAGCAAGCTTCTTTGCTTGCCAGTTGAATTTTGCATTTAAGCATTTGCTTTTTTTGTTGTTACAGAGTACATTTATTCCTTAACTTTTGTAGCATTGTGAAGTATGGATTGGTCTGAAAGACAGAAAGATATAGGTATTAGATTAGGGATTAAATTAGTTATTATTATATTATTTTAGAGCCGTGGTAGCTCAGATGGTTAGCGCTCGCTGTAAATTTCACAGTACGCGAGCAAACCGGGTTCGATCCCCGCCGGCACCAATGAAATTGTTAATTGCAATAAGCTGATTTACCACGTGCTCGGCGGTGAAGGAAAACATCGTGAGGAACCATGTAGAAATAAATAAAAAAATATATTTCGAAGACATGTGAAGTTCGCCAACACGCATTGGGGCAGCGCGGCGGACAATTCCTTGCCCTAAAACCCTCTCAGAAATGAGCGGAGGCCTGTGCCCAGCAGTGGGACGTATATAGGCTGTAACTTTACTTTACTTTTATATTATTTTAGAAAAAAATTAGGTATTAGATAATATAACTCTGACAAAGCTTTTTTTATTGACTTATATATTGATTTTGTTTATTTAGTTTTGATTTTCTCAAATCCTAAGTGTATAGTTGAATATCCACCAAAATGTCGATTGGTCACATTTTCCTTACGACCGTGAATATAATATATAGGTTAATTTAGGACCTTCTTTTTGAAGTCGTTTAAAAATAAATACTAAGCAATAACTGTCCGCAGTGCAATAAAATGGGGAAACGGAACGCCGCTTGTTGTGCTCAATGTTACACTTACAGGTCCTGTTTCCCTATTTTTTGCACCGCGGGCAGCGAGTGTTTAAAATTAGTATAGTAAATATTAAGTTTAAAAGAATAACTAATATTATTACGAATAATAACTAATAAAGGTGTGGTCAATTTAATACCTATTTTATATTTAAATATGTGCTGATCATACTTCGCTAGGACTTCTCATGGTCCCATATAAATTTAATGAGGATTTGACCAGTAGTTTTTGATTTATTCTTAATAATGCATATTTAATTGACTTCAAATACATTGATGACGTTTTGATTTTATTTATATTGAAGTCAGTTGTACAAAATATTTAATTTTACCACTTGTTTTTAATATCTCCTTGTATTTCTCAACCTTGACATTGGCAGAGAATTATCAGTTACATGGTTAAACGATGGAGCCAATTTTCTTTTAAAATATCAAGAAAAAGAAGTTAAAAGAATGAATATTCACCATTTTTGACATCCCTGGTTGAATTTGTTCAGCATCAGACATACAAATATCTCCTAATTCATCTTTGCCAGCAGGGGTTGATGCTGATGTCTTTCTTAATCATTCTTTAATATTAATGAGAATGAAAAAAGTATGCAGGATAATGTTTTGAACAGTCTTGCCTTAAAGAACGACAATTAATACTCATGAGAAGACAGTAGTAAAAATACCTACTCCTTTATTGCGTTATTTATTATTGTTACCATTACAGCCAAAGAAAGTACACTTCTGGACATAGGCCTCCCCCATAGACTGAATATAGGGGGGATAATTGCCAGTTATTAAGCTTAGCAAGCGGATTGGCAGCCACAGTTTTTTTTTTAAGTTTGGATACTAAAATATTGATTTTGTTTATTAAATCTTTATTTTCTCTAATTTTAAGTGTGTAGAACTAAATATCGATCAAAAGATTAAAGCCATTTTCCAGCTATATTATGGTTGTAGCACCAATGGGTTTGCTTGAGCAGGGTGGGACCACGCTCTCATAGAATCCCAGCGTGAAAAAGCAACTTAATGTTGCTGTTATGTATGATGAGTGTAGAAAACCGGAGACCCTTTTTACTGGAAGTGATGCTATCACAGGACATGGCTCCTTTAACAAACATTTATCTGTTTACTGTGCAGGGCATGCATGGGGGAGGTAGAAACGGCGGCTCTCGTGTTGCTGACATGTCCGGAGGTTGCTTCATTCAGGACTAAACATCTCGGTGCTCTCATGCCGGGATCGCTCCCCGAAGTTGCTTGAATATCAAAGGACTGTTGAACTTCTTCGGGGAGATTTCTTGGTTCGAATAATCACATTATTCCTGCCCAAACGCAAAATACTGTAATGGGGTTGCGGAAAACAGCCCGTCGTAAACTAAACTAACTACTGGAAGTGAGGCATTCCATGTTAGTACTCAAGGTTGACAAAGCATTTGCGCTTTGATTCTTATCTAAATCAAGGATAAATATAGATGTCTATAAGCTTCAATTATTCAAATTCAATTACCATCAAGTGGACTGAGTTTTCGTTCATCACCCTTATACTATCTATAAAAAAACCTCCTTTTTTCGAAGTCAGTTAAAAGTAAAGACTGTCTATTTTAGTAAAACTAAAGTTTCAAAGAATGGATATTTACCATTCTTGACATCTCTGGTTGAATTGGTTCAGGAATGGTCATATAAATATCTCCTACATTACCTTTGCCGGCAGTCATTAAAACTTTTGTCTAATAAACACATTTACAGTGCTTCCTCTACATTGACTCTGACTGTCACTCTCAAAATTAACATCCATATCCACCACTCTTCTATAATATTTTGCTTTCTTGGAGCCCAGGTTAAAGCTTTTCTATAGTCAACCAAATCTAAGAAATACCTTTTAACGTTTCACATTAATTATTCCGCAATAACTTTGCACAAGCGTACTCACACGATTTAAAATAACATTTTAGGTAAACCCCAAAAATTATGAAGTTATCTATATTTCATTACAACGTGTGTAGTTTTTTATCACTAATTTAAAATCAGAATCTTTCAAACAAAGCAAAATGTTAAAAAAATAACCAGTATCAACTTTTTTACTTGAAATCTAAACAACGACAGCTCATCTAGTTGTACTGAAAGTGGTTGAATAAAAGTATTTTTTATCTAGTTTTAATCTTTAATTTTTATAACTATACCTTTAGAAATAAGCAGTAACAACAAATACGAAGAAACTGATATGTTGTGTTTTAAATCATCCGTTTGTAATTTATTCTAGTATTATTAGAAAACTGTAAATGATTACCAACTCTAAATAACCGATATCGATTATTTTAAGGATCGAATATTATACGTTCTCATTTTTTGGGTGGCATGCTTGGTACAATAAGTCTGACAGCTGTCAAAATGTATTTCTTAGATTTGGTTGACTATAATTAACATTTCGCTTAAAACTAAAGTGCACAGCACTTTTCTTTCACTCATTGGAGCTTCTAATGTTAAAACATTGAATGCCTCTTTGGTAAACCTCGGTTCTGCATCCAATTTGTGATACCACTTGCTTAGTTGTTCTTGTATGTGGTGGGCATGTGTTATAGCTTTTCCTAATAAAATTATATGCTTCAAGTGAGTGCAAATTTAACGCAAATTTGCAGATTTGTTTAGTATACTAACTCTCTAAGGGTAAACCCCTAAACTTAGCTAGTTACCTTTTCAGAAAGTATTTCCGGCCAGAGCATTCTTCGAACAGAATCGTACCTTCATTTTTTATAAAATTCCGTTTCTTAAGTGTTGTACAATGTTTTTCAAATGAGCGAGCTTTTCTGCTCTTCGGTTACATTTTGCATTTAAGTGTTTGATTACTCTTTGTTGCAAAGCACATTTATTCTTTAACTTTTGTAGCATTTTGAAGTCTGAATTGGTCTGAAAGAAAGAAAGAAATATGAATTGGATTATTTTAATGAAAATAAGTACTAGATAATACGATGTTGAGAAAGCTCTTTTAATGGATTTTATATCGATTTTATTTATTTAGTCTTAATTTTCTCTAATCCCAAGTGTATACCTAAATATGGACGAAAATTTCAATTGTTAACATTTTTTCCACGGTCAATATAATATACAGATGAATTGAGAACCTCCTTCTTTTTAAAGTCGGTTACAAATATAAAGTCGGTCATATTTTAGTAAATTTAATGTTTAAGAGAATGAAAATTCACCATTTTTGATGTCTCTGGTTGAATTGATATAACCTGAACAGGTATAGTCTTACAAATGTCTCCTACATCAACTCTGCCAGCAGGGGTTGAGGCCGATATCTTCTTTAATTGTTCTTGATTTAACTTAAAGAAAAACTTTGATATTAATAAAGAATGAAAATGTATGCAGAATAATATTTGAACAGTCTTCCCTCAACAGCCCAATGGCAGGGTGCGGATCGCAAACTCGAAACGTCAAATCCGCTATTCAACTACTATCGTGAAACACTCCTAACACAAGCATTTTAAGCTTACCCAGGAATAGTCAAAGGGAATATTAGTATAGTAATGGTATTTATATAGCATTGCTAGCATTTCAAAAAAATAAATAAAGAAAGATCGATAATTAATACTCATGAGAAGACAATAGTAAAAATGCCTCATAATTTAATGATTTCTTAAATTTACGCGAACACCACACATTGAATAAAACTAAATTTACGGATTATATCGCGTTTATTTCACTGATTTTACTTATTTTTAATTCCCGCCGTTTCGGGTGCTTTACAGCAACCATGGTCACGGGGGGGACTGAGACGACACCTTCACAATTTTACCATCTGACAAAATAACTGCATTTTTAAACCACCTTAACTCTATAAACTCTAAAATACAATTCACAATGGAGTTATAGGCAAATAATTCTTTAGCTTTCCTAGATGTTTTAGTCATTCGAAATCCTGATAACACTATTGGTCACACTGTTTATAGAAAAAAGACCCATACCAACCGATATTTAAATGGTGAATCTAACCATCATCCTTCACAGTTAGCTACCGTGGGTAAATCTTTGTTTCAGAGAGCACGAGGGATCTGTGACAGGAAACATCTGGCCGCTGAGCTGCAGCATGTCAAGCAAGTGTTGCAAGACAACAAGCTTCGGATCCCGCGCCTACGTCACAGTGACCGAGTGAAGCCGGCCACAGTCGAGCGTGTGCCTGCTGTACTACCATATGTCAGAGGAGTCACAGACAAGGTTGGCTACATCTTGAAGCGAGCTTCCATTAAAACATACTACAAGCCGCCGAAGAAGATTAGTCAATTTTTACCATCCGTCATGTGTAATATCCCTCTACAAGATGCAAGAGTGTACAAGTTAGATTGTGAATGTGGTCTCTCTTACATAGGTCAAACAAAAAGATCTATAAAAACCCGCGTGAAAGAACATATAGTTGACGTGAAGCACCGACGCTCCGGGAAGTCTGCAGTCTGCGAACATGTTCAAGATAGTCCCCACCATTACATCAGATTTGATAAACCACAAATCCTCGCAAAAGAACACCGATTCCTACCAAGGATGATACGCGAGGCTATTGAAATTAAAAAACATCCTAATTTTAATAGAGAAGATGGTTGGGTGCTGCCATCTGCTTGGGATCCTATAATTAACAAAATTAAACCCAAACCCAAGCATACCACTGCAAGACTTCAAGATACTGTAAGTTCGTTTTGCGTAAATCGGACCAAGAAATTAATATTCAAAAATTGAAGGTAGCCGGGCTAACAATGACATTAAAACGTCAAACATCTCAGTCCCCCCCCCCCCCCGTGACCATGGTTGCTGTAAAGCACCCGAAACGTCGGGAATTAAAAATAAGTAAAATCAGTTAAATAAACGCGATATAATCCGTAAATTTAGTTTTATTCAATGCCTCATAATTTTTTTTATAGGATAGGGTGACAAACGAGCACACAGTACACCTGATAGTAAGTGGTTACTGCGGCCTATAGATATCTACATCTATCCTCGATTACAAATCAAAATGCAGATGCGTTTTCACCCGTGAGGACTAAAATGGAATGCCTTGTTTCCAGTAAAAAGGGTCTCCGGTTCACTACATTCACCATACGAAACACAGCAGCATTAAACTACTATTTTACGCTGGTATTCTGTGAGAGCGTGGTCTTTCCCCGGTCGAGCGGACCTATTCGTGCTACAACTATACTACTAATATAACTGCAGCATGGCTCTACCACGTATAAATAGTATAAATAATTGGTATTAGGTAGATATTAATGACACTGACATGCTCTTTCATTAGCTTCATTATTACCCGAACTGTTACAGCCTATTAAAGTCCACTGCTGAACATAGGTGAGAACTTCCCCTTAGGTTATTTTTACCACGCTTGGCAAGCGGGTTGACAACTGCAGTTTTTTATTTTTAGTCGCGATTAGGAAGACCCTGTTGCCCATCTCCTGACTTGTATCTCTCTGTCGCATCTTACGACACCCACGGGATGATATGGGTTAGTCCACTTACAGTGCCATTACACAGTACCTAATTTTTGTTTTTGTTAATAAATCTTTATTTCCTTCAATCTGAAGTGTGTATAACTAAATACACAGGGCTATTTTGCAATATACGTCCAAATTTGCAGAGAAAGTTAAGTATAGGTAATATAGACGAATGGTAAAGAAAAATTAATTAAGAAAATCTCAAATATATAATATATATATTACAACCATTTTACAGGGTGTTAGTGTAAAAACCGTTATCCTTGAAACCAGTGGTTTGGTTTCACTTATAGAGCGTGAATTCAATGAATATTAAAAAAAACGCTATTTTCTTTCATAAAATTTAAAAAATTTCTGTCCGACACCGTCCGTAAATTCATGGATACCCTTTGCGCCCGAGTGACGTAATCACTGTAAAGATAACCGCCCACGCTAGCTACCTACACTACATTCAAATAAATACACAATAGGTACACATAACCTGTGATGTGTGTAACGGCGCCTCTACACGTTGGCCAACACAGTGGCGAATGTAGTGGCCAATAGCATTGGCGAACGTGTAAACGGGGTATTTGGGCTTCATTGGTATGTATTGGAACGATGGCCCGCAAGTTGGCGCGAGATCCGTGTGGTGTCGGTTTATTTACAAAAGATCAAAGGATTGTTGGCAGAGTTTGGTCGCCGCGTCCACACGTTGGCCGCGCGTTTAGTTTGCTACAAGCTCCCAGAGTGATTACACGCATCTGATTTAAATTTTATATTCACGCTTTGTAGGGTGGATGACCCAATTACCAGCCTTTTAGTGCCAATTTCCACTTTAAACATTCCTACTACTTTAATTAGCGCGATTTAATTATTTTTAAACATTTGTTTTAATCGATAAGCTATTTATAAAAAAAATAATGAACATTTACTTACAATCAGATTATTACGAGAACAATTTTAAAATGAAAAAAAAAATGAAGCACGTCGTTTATACGTGGTAGAACCATGCAGTTATATTAGAAGTATAGTTGTAGCACGAATGGGTCGGTTCGACCGGGGAAGGACCATGCTCTCAAAGAATATCAATGTAAAATAGTAGCTTAATGATGCTGTGTTTTGTATAGTGAGTGTAGAGAACCAGACACTTTTTAAAGGTAACGAGGCATTTCATCTTAGTCCTCACGGGTGACAACGCATCTGCATCTTGATTCGTAATCGAGGATAGATGTAGATGTCTATTGTCTACAGCAACCACTTACCATCAGGTGAACTGTGTGCTCGTTTGTCACCCTATCCTATATAAAAAAGCGCCGATTTCTTATAATTTAATCGTGCAAGTTTTCGAATCATCATCATCATTACAGCTCTTCACAAGTCCACTACTGAACATCCTCCTCCACAGACTGCCACAAAGCATGGTCCTGAGCCACTTTGCTCGTCATGAGTTTTTCATTTATGTTCTAAGTTATAATTAGTACCTATTATTAAGTCAGTGTTAATTATATTTATTGCTATTGTTTTTGTCTTTCTCAAAAAATAATTAAATTACAAATAAATTATAAGGTGTTTTTTATATACATCAAATGTCTGATAGAAATGCAAGTACATATTTTGCTAAACTTTAAAATCAAAACCCACTTTTAAAACATAGATAATCGATTATAACTCCTTTAACTTTAAAATAAGTTAAGTTCTTATTAATGGTCTTTATTCCAGTTTATGATGCATGTAAAGAATAAATAAAGCTAATTGTATATCGTATATCTATTTACAACCCCATTAATATCCACTATTATTTTATAATTCTTTTATAAAAACGTTAACCCCACACTAGGATTTTCTCCCGTATCGCGCAGGCAGTTTACAAACATAAATTGCACAAGGACACACATCCAGACCCGAAACAATTATTTGTAGGACATACAAATACTTGTTCCGTGCGGGATCAAACCCGCGGCGCCCGGCGCAGCCACTCATTGCTGAGCCACTGCGGCACGGTGCTTATAAATTCGTCCGCACATTGGCCCGAACCGAAGTAAACTGAACGATCTTCCAACGTGTGGACGCCGTCACCAACTATCGGCCAATATATTCGCCACTCCATTCGCCACTGTGTTGGCTAACGTGTAGAGGCTACATAATAATCAATTAAATAGTAGGCGGTAGGTATTTATGAATGACAATTAATTAAAATAATACGCTATATGGATGACGCCAATAAAGTTTCTTTTTTTATGTAGGCGACAAACGTCACACATCACTCGAAGACGACACTTTCGGTACTGCAGGATTTTATACCTAGGCTGCACTAAAAGTATCGGGAATGGAATATTTCCACTGTCCCTGTCATATTAAAATCTTTTTAATTGAAAACTCCTTGGTTTTAAAAATCGAATACCATTTATTTATTTTAAAAAAAGATTCTCGGTCTTCTCACAAGGTTTTGTCAAACTTGTTTAGTCGTTGAGAAAATGGAATTGACTCGAGAAAATTCAAGAGCGATGATTTATTATGACTTTCGAAGTGGTTTAACACAAAAACAGTGTGTTGACCGGATGATTTCTGCATTTGGTGATGAAGCCCATCCAAAACCACAATTTATCGCTGGTTTGCTGAATTTCAACGTGGACGTGTCAAGCTCAGTGATGATCCCCGTCAAGGTCGTCCAAAAACTGCAGTCACCCAAGAAAACGTTGATGCTGTGCGTAAGCTGATTGAGGAAGATCGACATGTGACATACCGCGAAATTCAAGCAACTTTAGACATTGGCATGAATCAAATACAAATAATCTTGCATGAACAATTAGGTGTAAAAAAGTTGTTTTCCCGATGGATACCGCATTCGCTCTGTGAAGAGCAAAAATCGGCTCGTGTTACTTGGTGCGTCAGAACTCTCGAAAGATTCCACGCAGGATCCTCAAATGCTGTATACAACATCGTATCAGGTGACGAATCCTGGATATAGGCGTACGAACCCGAAACAATAAACCAGTCACGAGTTTGGGTGTTCGAAAATCAGTTAAAGCCAACAAAAATTGTTCGTTCACGGAGTGTTAAAAAAAAATGGTGGCCACGTTTGTCTCCAAAACCGGCCATGTTACGTCTATTTCTCTTGAGGGACAAAGAACGGTTAATGCAGAATGGTATGCTAGCATTTGTTTGCCACAGGTCATTTCTGAACTCCGTAAAGAGAACTGCAACCGCCGCATCATCCTCCATCTCGACAATGAGAGTTCTCACACCGCACACAGATCAAAAGAGTTTTTAGAGCAAGAAAACATAGAATTATTAGACCATCCGCCGTACAGCCCCGACCTAAGCCTTAATGATTTCTATACTTTGCCTAAAATAAAGAATAAATTGCGTGGACAGAGATTTTCATCACCTGTAGAAGCTGTGGACGCCTACAAAACGGCCATTTTGGAGACCCCAACTTCCGAATGGAATGGTTGCTTCAATGATTGGTTCCATCGTATGGAAAAATGTGTCAAATTTCGCGGAGAACACTTCGAAAAGCAATAAATACATTTTTAAATAGTAATGTTGTGTCACTTCCTTGATTCCCGAAATTTTCAGTGCCGCCCTCGTACCGATAAGTGAGTAGCTGAAGGTTTCGGTACAGTTACAGATCCCGCACCGCTCCCGCACCGACAAGTCAGTAAGCGGCCTAAGGGTCACTTGGTCGGCAATTACCACCTAAATGTCCCCTTTCTCAAAGCAAATAAATCTTCATTTCATTTCATTTCAAATTCGGATGACAGTGCAAGTGTATTATGATAAAAAACGTGATAATTTTTTAATTTAAAAAAAATTCACTTGTTTGAACTGAAATATAAAATTTGGATTTTGAAAAATAGCCCTATATATAAATATAAGAGCCATGCTGCAGCTATATATACAGGGTTTTAGTGTAAACACCATTATCCTTGAAACCAATGGTTTGGTTTTACTTGCAGAACGTAAATTCAATGAAAAATAACACCATTTTTTTAGTAAAATCTCAATTTTTCCTTAATTCCTCAATTTTTGCGTGTCCTAGATGAAAGTATGAAGGAAAAGTTACATCACAGGTTGTGTGTACCTATTGTGTTTTTATTGGAATGTAGTGTAGGTAGCTAGCGCGGGCGGTTATCTTTACAGTGATTACGTCACTCGGGCGCATAGGGTATCCATGAATTTACGGATGGTGTCTTTTTAAATTTTATGAAAGAAAATGTGAAACCAAACCACTGGTTTCAAGAATAACGGTGTTTACGTTGGTGCGTCAGAACTCTCGAAAGATTCTACGCAGGATCTTCAAATGCTGTATACAACATCGTATCAGGTGACGAATCCTGGATATAGGCGTACGAACCCGAAACAATAAACCAGTCACGAGTTTGGGTGTTCGAAAATGAGTTAAAGCCAACAAAAATTGTTCGTTCACGGAGTGTTGCAAAAAAAAATGGTGGCCACGTTTGTCTCCAAAACCGGCCATGTTACGACTATTCCTCTTGAGCAGAGTTCCCCAAACTTTTTTGTGTCGTAGAGCGCTTGCCATGTTATTCCGTGTTGGGTAGACCCCCTACTTACCTGATATTGATTTCCTGTAAATTTCTAACTGTAGTGAAGTTTAGTGTTAAAAACTTAAAGTAAAAACACATGTTAATTTATACATTTATTAATTGAATTTAAATTAAAACTACTCAAAATAAAATTTTGTATCTGTTATGTAAAATATACGTAGCATTAAATAAACATAAAATAAACTATAAATAAAATAACATAAGCAATAAGTCAATATTTTTAGTGAGAAGGGTGAACCTGGTGCTTTAATAATAAATTATCAACATTTGGCGTCAAATTGAAATAATACTAGTTTTTACGGAATTTATCGCGTATATTTAACTTTTTAAATACCCGACGTTTCGAGAGCTTTACAGCACCCATGGTCACGGGAAGGACTGAGATGTTCAATGTCCAGATGTCATAGTTAACCGCGGTTACCATAGATTAAAATTTAACTTTTGTTAATCTAATAATAATCTATGGTAACCGCGGTTAACTATGACATCTGGACGTTGAACATCTCAGTCCTTCCTGTGACCATGGGTGCTGTAAAGCTCTCGAAACGTCGGGTATTTAAAAAGTTAAATATACGCGATAAATTCCGTAAAAAACTAGTATTATTTCAATGTGTAGTGTTCGCGTAAATATAAGAAATCATTATATTTGGCGTCAATTTTGTAAGGGTTAATCTTAAATCTCCTCGGCTAATGATGTCCAGTCTGTTTCTTTTTTTCGTTAGGAGATTGGTAACAGCGCTGAACCCCCCTTGCCACTAGGTATGACGATGGAAAGGAAATTAAAAATTTCCTCGCTATATTCCATAATACGGGATAAGTAACGGGTATGTTGTTTTGCAGCCAGAATTGCTGATATCCGTTTTTAAACTGAACCTTAAGTTCTTCGTTTGTACTTAGTTCCTCTTGTATTATGACATCATATGGATTAATTATCCACGGTGGTATTACCATAGTCAAAATATCCTCAAACCTAGATTCAAAATCTGAATAGAGGGCATTTAAATGTTGAACGGAAGTTGAAACGTCGTCTTCCTGGCAGCTTGTCTGTGACAAATTGGGGAACTGAGAAAATTCGCCCCGTCCAATATTTTGCTTCATTAGTTTAACTCTGGCAAGAAACGCTGATAAGATGGACTTTGTTTTAATCAAATTTAAACTGTCGCCTTGTAATTGAAAATTAACCATATTAAATTTTGTAAACAAATCTATTAAATAGGCATTGTCTGTTTTACTCTTCATTAAATTTTCTTTTAAAATTTTATATTTAGTATCCAGAAATTCTAAAATAGTCTCAAAAAGTGCAAAAAATCTTGTCAAACATAAGCCTTTCGACAGCCAGCGTACTTCAGTGTGAAGGAGTAATTGATGAAAGTGTTCGTCATTTTCTTCACACAACTGCGCAAATAACCGCGTATTCAACGCGTTGCTTCGAATTCGGTTTACTGCATCAATGACTAAATGAAGTGATTCATGCAATCTAACACTCAAATTTTTAGCAACTAAATGTTGTCAATGGATGACGCAATGTATTGTTAACACCCCTGACACATTTTGTTTTAAATAGCTTATAAATCCACGATAACGTCCAACCATGGCAGGTGCTCCATCTGAAGCTAATATAACTGATATTATATTTGATAAAGGAATTGCTTTTTTAATGAAGTAATCCTTCAAAACATGAAATATTGATTCACCTTTAGTGTCGGTTATCAAAGTTCTTGCGAAGAGCAGTTCTTCGTAGATTTCTTGATTCATAATAAAACGAACATATGCCAATAATAATGCTGCATTATCAGGTAAAGTTGACTCGTCCAGTTGTATAGAGAAATGGGTCGTTTGCAAAAAAGAAGCTTTCAATATCAGAACTCATTTCATCAATACGTCTTTCAACAGTATTGTTGCTTAAGGGAATTCTTTTAATGATATCAGATGCAGGTTTGTGTAAAACAGTTTTTAAAACCTCTTCAACGGCTGGCAAAATTAACTTCTCTCCGATAGTATGCGGTTTTCCGGATTTTGCTATAAGTAACGAAATATTGTAAGACGCCCGCAAACCATCATCATTTCTTTGTGACGTCGAAGCGAACATTCTGTCCAGTGTAGGTCTCTTCTGAAGTTTATCACTTAGCGGTCAGCCGCCGTAGAGTCTATATTACCTGATGATGCCTCGTGTAGAGGCGAAACACGTGTCGTATTATCGTCGATGGTGTGTCTTGCCTGGAATAGTGGTGTTGAGAGTAGTGGTGCTTGGTATAGTGGTGACGGAGTTAGTGTATGCAATTGAGGGAAGGCGGGAGGTGCGCTTCATTCCAGGTAAGACACATCATTTTATATGTTTAGCGGAAAGTTGCAAAGAAATTTATATTTTTATTTTTTATTATAATGGATTTCCGCAAAGTAACGCCTGATTCTATCAATTATCTTATTGGAATGTAATGTAGGTAGCTAGCGCGGGCGGTTATCTTTACAGTGATTACGTCACTCGGGCGCATAGGGTATCCATGAATTTACAGATGGTGTCTTTTTAAATGTTATGAAAGAAAATGTGAAACCAAACCACTGGTTTCAAGGATAACGGTGTTTACACTAACAACCTGTATAATGGTTGTAATATATATGTAATTGTTGTGGCACCAATAGGTCGGCTCAACTGGGGTATGACCACGCTCTCACAATACCAACGTAAAGTAGCAGCTTAATGCTGCTGTGTTGGTTATGGTGAGTGTAGAGAACTGAAGACCTTTTTTACTGGAAACAAGGCATTCCATCTTAATCATCAGGGGTGAAAATGCATCTGAACTTTGATTCTTAATTAAGGATAAATGTAGATATCTATAAGCTAAATAAGCTAAAAACATAAGCATCCATATACCATTCAGTGGACTACTAAAAATTAAAATGAAAGTTTAAAAGTATAAGTATTCACCATTGTTGAGCTTCCTGGTTGAATTTGTGGTTCCTGGATTGATTCTGTTTCTGTTTGAATTGGTTCAGGAGTGGTCATACAAACATCTGCTACATTATCTTTGCCCGTAGTTGCTAATTCTTTTGGCTTCTTAAATTGTTTTTGATTAACCTGTAAAGAAAAACTTTAATATTAATAGACATAGAATGAAAGCGTTACCGTGTAGTGGCGGTGTAAGAATATCCACCTTGGTAAGAATATCTATCCCCCATGGATGATCTGAGGTGGGCATCTTTCATAACAATAAAAAAACTGCAGTTGCCAGCCCACTTGCCAAGCGTGGCAACTATGGCAATATACCATGGCGACAATTACAAAGAGACGGCTATTAGTCCTCAGCATTATGCTGTTGTGCTGCCATATTATACGATTATCTGAGGTCTGAAGAAAAAGGAGGGCATGGTATTCCTAGAATCCTTCAACTTGTTCTATCACCTGGAAGATTTTTTCCACCTCCACCATTTCCGACCCAAGGAGTTTTCGGATTTATCGCCCACAAATCTCCCGTTAACAAAGTTTGCAAAGATTAGGTGTGTTGACGAGGGTTCCGTACTTTATACTCAGAATCACCAAACGGTATTCGGTAATTAATCACAGAAAATTTAAAAATCGCCTCACGTAATTTATGGACGTCCCCTTACTTCTTCAGAGATTATGGGGATTTTGTACATTTTGAATTAAAATCCAAAAAACGCAGGTGTATGCTGCATATTTTTGGAAACATGTTATATGAATTTTTTAATTATTTTAGAATATCATGTTAAAAATTCAGTTAATTTTTGAAGTCATTCAGTTTCATGCACTTAACTAATTATTTAATCTTTTTACCGCTTTCTTAACAATCATTTTTCCGTAGTTCTTGTAAGTAAAATGCACATCACTAGCTAATGCACACAATGACAAATAAAAATTGGTCACACATTTACGGGCTGTCAGGTCGTCTATATGCCAGTATATTCTCTATCTATATTCTTAAGTCTATGGCAACGGCTATCGACCAGAGAGTCAGATCTCCAGTATATATTAGTCTATGCACAGACTACTATGAGTATGGAGTGTAGAGATAATAAAACATACCATTCTTTTTAGACAGTTTTGCAAGCGATTCCGTAAAATCCGACAAGATTTACATCTCGGATATTGTTGATTTCTTTTGTAAGCATCGTCACCTATAATCACACCTTTACAAAGTCTGGAGTATCTGAAAATTGATTTAATTTTACAAAAAACAAATTAAAATTTTTTTTGGACAGCCGTTTGTTTTTGAAAATAAATTCAACTTACTTGTTATTGTCAATTTGAGTGCCAACACATAATGGCAATCTTTCAACGGTTTTTAAATAATCATAGACATTGCTACATGAAGTAATTTTTTCATTCAGCGACAACACTTTATTATTAGCAAAAATAACCTGCAATCAGATTGCAACAATTACGTTTAGTTACAAATGAAGAATACCTATTACATTTACAGTATATATATAATTACTTACAGTGATTGATAAATCCTGGTTTAAACGTATATGGTTCTTTATTTGCTTAGTTATTGGATCCATCCGCATAAATTCTAGCCCACTTGGCTTTTCTACATACAGCCAAGATGGCGGCAGTACTGGGAATTTCAGAAAATTATCCTTAAAAGTCGCTACTGATTGTGTTCCTTGTAGACACATCAGTGGATCTTCCGAATTCTGTGGATGTTGTTCATTATCATCAATAAAATTATTAGGTTTCGGATCTTCTAATAATTTCTGCTGGTGGACATTGACTTTTTGGACTTGATCTTGGCATTCATCTTTAGACTGATTGCAATAAGAGTCTGGCATTTGCTGTGCACTGTGGGCACTCACTTGAAGTTTATGTGCTGGTATAGGCACAAACTGATGCTCAATCGTTGGCAAAGCTTCATCTTTAAGTATTTTTCTCCCTGTAGGAAAAATTATAAGTTCTCCGTTAATGTGAAACTTTTCATACATTTTTATATCCTCTTCTTTGAAATGAAGATGACAAATATAATCTGTGTTTTTCAAATCTATTCCCAGCGACATTTTCCAATTTTCTAATCGTACAGGCCTCTGTGAATTATTAAAAATAAGGGATATTAACAATTTGCATTTATTCAGAAAATTATATAAACTCAATTTATAATTTAAGTGTTAATTTATAATTTTATTATTTTTTAAAAATAAAAAATTAACACTAACAATTATATAAAAATTAATAAATATTAATAGTAATAAATTATATATAAAAATTGTTAATTGATTAAATATTTTATGCATTATATTTCAGTTTCGTATGAAACTTGGGAGTGCACTTAATTAATCTGAGAAGTATAAAAATATTACAGAAAAGCTAAAATTTTAAGAAGTAAAATGATTATGGAAACAAAGGGTATTGAGAATGTCAGACCACAGTAATTTAATTTAATTTTATGTAAAATTTCCCATTACTGCATATTCCCAATAACACTGTATTTTGCTGCAGACAGCTTTGGTACTATGTTATTGTTATGCATGACCTCAGCAATGACGATGCTTTTTTGTATTGTTGCCATGGTGTTGGGAAAAAGGGACAAAATGATGTGACTTCTTTTTTGTTTCAATATTCAATTCATAAAGAAAGATGTCAAGCAAAACTTAGTGCTCTTTTCAGATGGATGGGCAGAACAAAATAAAAATTATGTCATAGTTCACTTCCTATACATGTTAGTTCACTGACTTCGTTTGTTTGATAGCAGTGCCTACATTTTTCCTATCACAGGATATTCTTTTTTGCCAAATAACCAAGATTTTGTTATAATAGAGAAGAGGAAGAGAAAGGAATAGGCTGAAACACCAAGTGACTGGGTATTCCATTTTGAGTAGATATAGAGTCTCCGAGCCGTCCCAATAAACACTGCCTAACTAAATTATTTGCAAAAAATTATACCATTTTTTATAGAAATTAACCAACAGTTTTGTTCTACTCTAGCAAGATAATGATAATGCAAGTGCTGATTATAATAACAGTAGTGGTGAGGAATGTGAGGAATAAGTTTAGCGGAAGTAATTTTTTTCATGTATCAACACAAAATATATAAACCTTCTTGTAATTTTAAATATTTCACATTTTAACTTCTACTTTGGTATTTCTTTAGTAATCTGCCGCACGAATATATGGTCGCCGAGTGGGTGGGTAGAGAGGGGGGGGTAGGAACCTCTCCCTAAAAGGGAAAAGTGCCGGAACCCCCCCCCCATTTTTAATGATTTTTTTAGTAATCTGCCGCATGAATATATGGTCGCCGAGTGGTAATCATTGCCCGTCAACTAAAGCTAAAATAATGGTTGAAATTTAGAACAGTTTGGCAGGAATTTGGGGGAGAAAGGTGTTTTATTTGGTAGAGGTTTAGTCCCCGATTATAATAATACCACTCCCATTAAAAGGTAATGCACCGTTCTTGAGAAAAATCAAAAAGAAAATCCCATAGAACTAACCTCAAAATCATAACTCAAAATGAATTAAGGGGATGGGAGGTGGTAGAGAGGGAGGCGGGGGAGTTGTAGAGTCGCCCCCACTTCCACAACCTGCCGGACATGCTTAGTTTTTTTTATAAAGTTTTAAAAATCTAATTTTGAGGTTATGTTTTTGTAATGTTTTTGACTATAATCTTGATTTATGGGGGGAAAGAGTTGGAGGAGGGAAGCACCACATAGCGCAGTGGAGGGAAGGCTGGTCGTCGGAGCCCCGCTTTGCTGGGCTCTTACTTCTGAGTGGTTAACAAACAAATAACCATGAAGGGAATGGCAGGGTCTATTCGCTCGCTTCACTCGCTCACTCAACCCCATCATCCCCTTCTAAACTAACCTGTCCGAGTCGGGGTGCCCTAAGTCCCTGCTCGCTTCGCCTCGCTCTTGCACTCAACAAAACACCAAAATATTAACTTTTCTAATTACTTTAAATTATAAACATAATATGTAATACAATAATAACCACACTACGGCTCACACAGGTGCCTGCGATTTGCTACGACGAGCGGGGGCTGCTCTCCCCTCCACACCTACGGCTTTACAAAAACACTTTAGGAGTAGGGCAGACAAGACTACATGGATTCGGGGCGTGCTGATTTAATTTCAGTACAAATTCGATCAGATCAGATATCTATAGTCAGGTTGCCTTTGCTCCCGCCACAGCCACAAAATTCTGTATGCTACCCAGCTTTCACAGTAATATTGTATAATTTTTTCTCGGAAAGTCTAGAACCCAGAGCCGTAAATTCAGTTAATAATAAAAAATGTATCACTTTTCATACTTTACGTATTGAAGGTTATAATCTTATAATAATTTTTATTTATTTTTTCGATAACGGTGCATTACCTTTTAATGTGAGTGGTATTATTATAATCGGGGACCAAACCTCTACCAAATAAAACACCTTACTCCCCCAAATTCCTGCCAAACTATTCTAAATCCAACCCAAAATAATCACTTATATCGTGCAACAGATTATTAAAGCCGACCCTCCACTTTTCCTTCAAAAGTTACCTTAGTCACAGGAAATTATATATTTTAAAAATGATAAATAAATGAATATAGTTTTAATCATAATATATATAGATTGTATATTATAAAAAGTTAAATATGAAGATGTGAAGAAGTTTTAAACTCCATTCTGTAAACTAACAAATTTGACTAAGGTGGTTTTTTTTAAAATAAAATCTATTATTTTACTTACTGTTGGTTGGAAAAATGACAGCAACTGAGTTTCATCAGCTTTTTCATTTTTTCGATTGTTCCTTTTACGCCCGCTTGAGCAACTTTTTATTGCACATACTTTCACCATAATGCTTTTTTATAATAAGTAACTATTATAGTATTTTCAAATTTTTATTCAACGCAACGTAGTGTTGTCAACCATCTTAATAAATAATGATCACAGAGTACCTTTGTATAAACTGAAAATAATGATAATAATTAGTTAATTAGTAATAGTAACACAGAGTACATTATAGGAGTGGACGATATACATCGATGTTTTAAAAATACTCGATGTATAGTAACAATGCATCGAATCAAACCGATGTATTGTTAAGTTTTAAACATCGAGTATACATCGATGTTTTTTTTCGATGCATCGAAAAGGCAAACAATCAACCCCCCGCCCCTCTCTCTACGGTTAATAACTATTTTTTTCTCTTTTTCGTTTACATTATTTAGCACTCGCAAGGTGTTTCGCCAAAAAATGGTATCACTGGTTGAAAAGGCAGCCAATATTATAGAGATATAGAGGTCAGTGTAACCAACCTATAAAAAATATAAATGCAAATGTCCGACTGAATTGAGCCGCCGTCTCTATCTTAGTCTTACTTACAGTTAGTTGCAGTCTCTGGCTTCAAAAACCATATTATTTTAATTTTTCTATTAAGGATTATATTTATATTTTTCTATTAGGAGTAATAGTGTTCTGTGTTAATTACCTACTCAGTTTGATTCAGAATTCATTTATAAAATTTGCTGTGTCGTGTTAGCAATAATATTTATAAGTCGAAGTGTTAAACTGAACAACACGTTATATGTAATAGTAATATCATAATAAGCCTGTAAACACGTTCGACAAGTAAACAAAGGTAAGTGCGTGCATCTAAATAATATATAAGTAACAATTTTCGAGATTTCCGTAAAAGCATGATTGTAAATTAAACAAAAATTCCGTAACTAATACTTTAATTGTATTTCGTGCTTAATGTCGTACCTATTTAAGTTATATTACATCGCGTGTTAGTCTTCTAGGTTACCTAGAAATATAAAAATATTTTCATATTAATCTGTCTAATCTAAATAATCATGTAAATGTCCAATTATTTACCTACTTTAAAGGGAGTAATTATTTATCATAACAAATGTTTATCAAACAAGTTAATAACGAATTATATCACTAGTGATTCTATGTTACCGATATCACGTAATCGATATTTTTTTATTGAAAATACATTCCTTTTTTATCTATTTCAGAATATTATAATAGTTTAGTCTGGAAGTTTTATGACAGAATTGATGACAATAAATCGAAATGTAAGTTATGTCAAAAAGTTATCAAGTGTACTGGAAATAGAACAAACTTATTTGTGCATATTCTTAATATCCACAAGGCAGCTTACATTGAAATTGTTCCGTTTCAAAGTAGTCCTTCGGAAAAAAAAGTATCACGCAACCAGTTCTAGAGTCAGCTGCTTCAAGTTCCAATGAGATACATTGCATTGGTATTGTTGATGAACTTAAATCAGTTCAATCTGATTCCGAAACCGTTATTCCTTCGACGAGTAATTCTCAAAGTACGTCAAAACCGTTGGATAAAGCTTTAGATTCTGACTCGGAAGTAATCCCTATAAAACGTCAAAAATCTATCAAAACCAGTTTTCAAGAAATCTCCTCTTATTCAGAATCCGGCATGAAAACAAGAAAACTTAACAATTGTTTGTTATATATGATTTGTAAAAATCACCAGCCTTTCTCAATAGTCGAGAATGAAGGGTTTCAAAAATCTAATGAAAGCAGTTGCTTCTCAATATAAAATACCAAGTAGAACAAGTCTGAGACGATGGTTGGATAATAAATATGAGGTTGTTTCAGAAACTTTTAAAAAGAAATTTGTTCGATAGAAGACTTAACCTTGACGACAGATATTTGGTCTGATACATTAAATATGAAAAGTTTTATAGGCGTAACTGTTCATTTTGGAATAGAAATTGAACTCATTTCAGTTACTCTCGGCGTGTACGAACTCGATGAAAGACATACGTCACAATATATTTCTGAAATGCTTTTAAAAACTTGTGCAGAATGGGGTATTAAAAAAGATAATGTGACGGCTGTAAGTAACCGATAATGCTGCCAATATGGTGAAAGCTGTAGAATTGACGTTTGGTAAGAAGAAACACATTCCATGTTTGGCTCATACGTTAAATTTGGTGGCTGAAGGCACAATGGCATGTATTGAGTGGCAAAAAATTGTTACTAAAATTAAAGCAATTGTGACCTGGTTCAAACAAAGTTGCGTTGCTAGTGACGAATTGCGCAAAGCTACTTCTACTGAGACTAAACTTATACAAAGTGTACCGACGCGCTGGAATAGTACTTACTACATGGTACAAAGATTTTTAGAACTGCGGAGTGTCATAAATGATATTCTTTTTCGACACGCCACCGCACCCCCAATGCTCAGCAGTTCAGATATTATCTATTGCCTCATCCGTCCTCCTGATATTGCGGCCTTTGGAGGTAGCCACAAAAGAAATTTCTGCAGATAAATATTGCACAACCAGCAAAATTATACCTTTAGTCCGCTGCATATTTTCCAAAATTACTTCAGCAGGTGTCGCAGGAGAACCTGTGGCACGAGAAGTGCAAAAACTGGCTCTGCAGGAAATTACGAAAAGAATGGGTTCCATTGAACATGTAACTCCTGTTGCTATAGCAAACATTTTAGACCCACGTTTTAAAAAACTTCACTTTAACGATGCAATAGCTTGTAGCGATGCTGTATCGAAAATCAAAGATTTAATGAAGGTTCATTTGCGTCAAATCGAAGAAATCAAGTCAGACTCGGATAAGTCTGATAAAAGTGAAGAGACATTTTCATTATGGAGTGATCATTACAAACTGGTACATCGTAATTGGAAGAGTAATAAATCTGAAGATAGCTTGTCGGATAAACTTTCAGTTTATCTGACAAGTCCTGTTGGAAGACTTAACGACAATCCCCTAGAAATTTGGAAAGATTACAAAGTACAGTTTCCAATATTGCATAAAATTGCCTTCAAATATTTAACAATGGTGGGCACATCAGTACCATCAGAGAGACTTTTCGCAAGCGGCGTAGGTAATGACTCAACAAAGGAATAGATTAAAGGGTAAAAGATTGGGTAAATTTTTTTTTACAAAGTATAGATAAAAATTATTGGGATATATATTAAAAATAAATGTAAATGTAATAATATTATTTTAGTAGATGCTTGCTTTTTATTTCTTAACCACATGCATATTTAACTTATAGAAAAGCAATCGATGTATAGAAAACATCGATGTATTTTTTGATACATCGATGCAACAATCCAATGCATTCAATCGAAAAAAACATCTGTTTTTTTTATGTCCATCACTAGTACATTATATATACCTGGAATAGAGTTGCTAGTCGATTCCGTGGTACAGAGACATCTATAGTGGAGTTGTCGAACTAAACGGACGATATATCTATCTATAAATATATTCTATATATAGTACAGCCCCATCCCTGGTGTACTTATTATTTTTAATTAATTTTACAAGATCACATAATTCTGCAACTAACTAGTTTTGTGCATATAGTCACAAAACTAGTTAGTTGCAGAATTATGTAATCAAAGGTAAATCATAAAAAATAAAACTCAATTTAAAAATAATAATCATCTTTATTCAGGTAATTTACACCCATAACCAGTAAAACAATTAAGAATTAAGCAATCTACACAATTTCAGAAATAAATAAATTAATGTCGATCAATCAATATACTTCATCAAAGTAACAATTTTAAATTAAAAAAATCCAACAGTAATTATAAGTAGGCAGTAATGAGAGTATACATTATAAGTAAATTAATCGAAATAAAATAACATAAAATTTAGTTTATTTACCTAAGATCTTGGTATTTAAAATAATAAAGCAACTTATCTACTATACAAAAGTTATAAGAAAAATAAAATAAGATGCACAAATTACAAAAAAAAAATAGTACAATAGACAAAGAGTTGACAATTTTTATAAAAAAAAATATAAATATGTTTTCATTTATACCAGGCTTAATATTGGCCTTAGATACCATCCTGCTTAAGGTGAAAGGTGATGGCAGAACAAATATCTTTTGCAGCATCATATAGGGGCTCTTGGCCCATGTTAAAAAAATGTAATGCCATCACCTTTTCATCAGGTGTGATTTTGTCTGTCCCTTTTGTGTTTACCACATTCTCGAAATTGTAGCATCGCAAAAACTGTTGCCATTTAGGTAAAACTTTTAAATGCTTAACGATTTCTTAAATTTACGCGAACACTACACATTGAATAAAACTAAATTTACGGATTCTATCGCGTTTATTTATATGATTTTACTTATTTTTAATTCCCGACGTTTCAGTTCACGACGTTACAGTCCACCCCGTAACCATGGGTGCTGTAAAGCACCCGAAGCGTCGGGAATTAAAAATAAGTAAAATCAGGTAAATAAACGCGATAGAATCTGTAAATTTAGTTTTATTCAACTTTTAAATGCTTTCAAGAAAGTAGCATTTTCTAAAAGATTCATTTTCTTTTTCAGTCTTTTTGTTCTTTCTTCATACTTTCTTATTTCTCATTTGCTATATTCAAGCTTTTAAGTTTCTTTTTTAACATTGTAATTCTTGTACTAATTTGAGTCCTTTTGGGCTTAGTTTACCTTCAAGCCTGAAATTAAAATGACAAAACATTATATTTATATAGACAACCTAGAAAATTTGTACTATAGTTTAGTAAAAATAAATTTAATTGTAGCAAGTTGATTGCATTTTGAATCATAATTTGGAACATAGTAGATAAATATTGAAATATACAATATAATAGGGTTACAGGTTAAGTCGACTTAGATCATTTAAGGGGTTGTAGTTTGCATCATTACCGACTTTTTCGACTATGAAACACCATACACGAAACTTAACCATTTTCAAGATATTGTATATTTTAGTTATGCAATAGTGGAGTACTTGTGCAGGCGAAACATGATGAAATATAATGGCAAAAGTGATAAAATATGTTTACTTATTAAAGTAATTATTAAAGTTAACATTTTGATGTTTTATTAGGTACGTAGGTAGGTAGGTCGGTAGGTACAAGAGCGAGGAAAGCAAGCTCGGGACTTGGGGACACCAACTCAGATAGGTTTGGTTAGAAAGATTTGTGGTTATTTTTTCATAAACAACCCAGAAATAACGGGGGCTCCATCAACTAAACTTTGGTATTGCTTCGGTGTTATCGTATTTGTGTGTGATCAAACAAAACGCCAATGTCAAATTCAAAAACAAACAAAATGGTGGTAGAGGGTGGTCACGTTTACAAATTAAAACACCAATATTCCATCTTCCAATTACACTAATAAACTAGACTTAAAGCAGCTAAATCTTAATAAAATTAGTTGTTTAACTCATTTTCTGGTGAAAATATCTAAATTCACATTATTAACACGTCGATTTAGTCAATGTGATACGAACATTTAATTTGATTTAATTAACTAAAACAACGCACTTCCGAACGTAAACTTACTCCAGCGCCGTCCTTTGGAGAGTTGTGGAACTAAATATGCAATGCCAGTTTCTATAGAATAGAAAAATGTTCTAACTACAAAGGCCCTGATTAGTAATTAGCACAGCACAGAGTACATTATATATACCTGGAAGTAATTAGTATTTTTTTTTAAATATGGCAACCTAACAATTACTGCCAACCTCCAGTCAATAAAAATACTTGTAACTTGAAATGAAACGACGGACAATCTAAAGAGAAACTACGATTCTGATTAAAAACCGAAATCATAATGTTAAGAACCATAGAATACTATAATAATGAATCATGAAATGTCTTGTACTGAAGTATATTAAATAAATGATGGATGTTGGGTTGAATTAAAATAATACTAAACTCAATACCACATTTAAAATAATAAGTATTACTCAATAAAGACGATTGATTGCTAAATAATGAATAAAATTTTATAAACTAATATTATTTAAATCTAAAAATTCCATAAGACAATTGAAAACATTTTTACTTTTTTTAGAAAAGATTAAAAGAGAAATTTCTGTAGGAAGAGGAATTTTAAGATTTACCAAAGTGTTAAATAATGAAGTATGATCATATAAACGATACAAGAAGAAAATATGGTTGAGGTCACCAATATCCAAACCACATTCACATTTAAAGGATTTTTAATATGAAGCCTAGCAAGGTGAAGCGAAATACAGCAGTGACCCAAGCTCATTCTACATAACATTGATGTATGTTTCTTATTTAAGGATAATTTATTAAACCAAGGCTTAGAAGGAATAATAGGTTGAATTTTCTTGAGTGTTGGCCGCTCCCCGGGCAGAACATCTTGCCCGGTGGGAGATCTCCCCTTTTCCTTCTACGGCCACAGTGGTGACCCCGACGTGATCTGAACACGAAACCAACAACCTTCGGAAACTTCAAGCTTCATCATCGTCATAGAATACCCCACCCATTCGCTCCCGAGCGGATATCGTCTGCAGTCTTCATATCCTGCAAGCCATCTAGCTTCACAAGGTTCATCGCAGCACTGGAAAAATAATGCTACCTGTTCCTTCAAGCTACTCTCTGCGCTACAGTGTTCGGCATGGCTCTGAGCCTTACTGCTCGCCTCTGCTTCACGGCACTCCCGCAGATTACTTGCCTTCTTCTTGACTCACCGCAGACTACAAGGCAATATCCTGGCACTTGCACATTCATCGACACGAGGCTGCACTATCGACCTCCGGTCTGAGCAGGGGGGTGATGTAGCGGCGCTGTCGTCGCGCCACAAGCGAAAACACAACGAAGCCTAAATCACGCTATCAACATTCCGAACCATAGACAGTATATATAGAACTTCTCCGAACTATCACTCGGAGTGTTAGCCACTCCCCGGGCAGAACATCTTGCCCGGCGGGAGATCTCCCTTTTCCTTCTACGGCCACAAGGTCATAGCAATAATTTTTAAATAAGAAAGTATCCCCACAGACTATAGCTTGTTTAGCAAGTTTGTCAGCATATTCATTACCAGATATACCAATATGACTCGGAATTCAAACGAGAGAAATTTTGATGTTTTGGAATTGATATAAGAATAGAAGTTTCTTAATTTCAAATATCAAAGTATTGCGGGAAATGTCATAGAAAGGATTACATAACAATGCTTTTAAAGAACTGAAAATATCACGCTTGATTTTAATTTAAAAAAGAGCAATATTTTATTGATTGTAAAATGGCTAACATTTCTCCAGTAAAAACTGAAGATTCGGGAGGACTTTTCATTTTTTGAACTATTCTCCAATTTTGATGGTATATTGCAAATCCAGTACAACCTTTTGAGTTAATCTTAGAAGCATCTGTAAAAATATAATGACGATCTGGGAAATTCTTATCCAACGTAACCACAAATTTCTTATTTGATTCAATAGAAAATTTATTTAATCCTATATATAATATAACATTGGGTTTGAAAAGTGCAACTTCAAACGAATTGGAGAAAAGAGGCAGAGTCGCCGACCTATAAATAGGATCTAGTAAGGAATTATAATGTTCATAGCTTTTAACTAGGTTAGGTGTTTCTTTATTACGCCAGTATTTTTCTGAATTAATTGAAATGTACTGAGAAAGCAAACGAATTTTAGGGAGTAATGGATGGTTTGAAAATTGAAGAACCCGATAAAAAAAAAGGAATCCCATAAATATTGTCGTCTAATAAAAAGTGGAGGATCACTGCATTCAATCTGTAAGGCATTGATAGGCGACGAATTCATAGCGCCTGTAATTAATCTTAAAGACTTGTGTTGAATGATATCTAATATTTTTAATCCTTCTTTACTAGCGGGTTCAAGAATAAATGAGCCATAATCTAATCGACTTCTTATAATTGCATTATAAATTAATTTTAAAGAATATGGATGAGCACCCCACCATACCCCGCACAAATCTCTAAGAATGTTTATATTTTTTTCGCATTTTTTTGGGTATAAATGATATGAGGCATGCCGGATAATTTATTATCAAGAATTACACCAAGGAATTTAACTTGTTGGATATTTGCGAGCAGATAATCAAAAAGGCGAACTTGGATTTCAGG